GTCCCCCAGGGCTCAGTACTGGGACTGGTCTGTTTAATATCTTTATTGATGATGCTGGATGAGGGCATCAACTGCTCCTTCAGTAAGTTTGCAGATGACACTAAATTGGGTGGGAGTGTTGATCTGCCTGAGGGTAGGAAGGCTTTGCAGAGGGATCTGGACAGGCTGGACTGATGGGCTGAGGCCAATGCTATGAGGTTTAACAAGGCCAAGTGCCGGGTCCTGTGCTTGGGTCACAACAACCCCATGCAGCTCTACAGGCTTGGGGATGAGTGGCTGTAAAGCTGCCCAACAGAAAAGGACCTGGGGGTACTGGTTGACAGCCGGCTGAACATGAGCCAGCAGTGTGCCCAGGTGGCCAAGAAGGCCAACAGCATCCTGGCCTGTATCAGCAATAGTGTGGCCAGCAGGAGCAGGGAGGTGATCGTGCCCCTGTACTGGGCACTGATGAGACCACATCTTGAGTAGGGTGTCCAGTTTTGGGCACCACAGTATAGGAAAGACACTGAGGTGCTGGAGCGTGTCCAGAGAAGGGCAATGAAGCTGGTGAGGGGTCTGGAGAACAGGTCTGATGAGGGGCGGCTGAAGGAACTGGGGCTGTTCAGCCTGGAGAAGAGGAGGCTGAGGGGAGACCTTATCGCTCTCTACAACTACCTGAAAGGAGACTGTAGTGAGGCCAATGTTGGTCTCTTCTCCCAAGTAACAGGACAAGAGGAAATGGCCTCAGGTTGTGCCAGGGGAGATTTAGATTGGGTATTAGGAAAAATTTCTTCCCTGAAAGAGTGGTCAGGCTGCTCAGGGAGGTGGTGGAGTCGCCATCCCTTGAGGTGTTCAAAAGAAGTATAGAGGTGGTGCTTAGGGACATGGTTTAGTGGGGGGCTGGGTAGTGTTAGGATAATGGTTGGACCTAATGATCTTCAAGGTCTTTTCCAACCAAAATGATTCTACCTTAATTTCATTTGAATCAATTTCCCTTTAGAAGAAAAAAAAAATCTATTTTCTAGATAATTGTAATTCATAAATGTATACGCACTATTTAAAAAACTAAACACATTTTTCCATATACATAAGCATGCACTTGTTTTCTTGGAAGTCTGAAATGGAGATGATGCAGTGAGAGAAAACACAATGTAGACAAGTTTTATCAAATGCACGGGTGGTTTTATACCTATATCCAAGTATGTGAGATGGGTTATTAACCTTAAATAAGGACAGTGACACATACAAATTAGACAAACCTCAATTACTTTCTGGTAAATAAAAACTGAAAATTGTTGACTGTTTCTCTAAATCAAATAATGACTTAGTATTGGATACATAAAACAGTCTTTAAAAGTTACATAATTTTGTAATAAGACTTTAGAATTCAACTCTTCGGAAAACATTGTGTGGAAAATCTTGAAAATATCCTTCCTTCTCTGTCTTCAGTAATTCAGCCTATTCAGAAACACAGTTTGGAAGACAGAACTTCAACAGAGGGGCTTACTTTGAAAGTCACTATTATAGTATAAAAAATTACCAGGAGAGCAGGTCATGTATTTTAAGTCCACATTATTTTTGTGACAATTCGTTGTCATGGCTGTCAGTCAGTTGCTCGTATTAGTTTCAATGGTCTCTGCAAGACCATTACTTTTGTTCTCTTCTAGGTAAGTAGCTCTTTTCTTAGTAAAAGTAGCAAACAGAGTATCCATCATTCCCAAAACTTCTAGTAGTTCCTCTTGATAGTCAATCTCTTTTCCTATGGCCTCCTGAAGTTTCAAGAACTGTCTATCAACAATCGCCGACTGCCCAACCACAGGCTGATAAATGTCTGTGAAGAAAAAAGCCAGTTAAGAATCCACATACCTATAAAAGTGTGAAAATTACATTAGCTAGCTAGAGATGCTTTTAAGGAGTCTGGCACAAGTCCAACATTGTGGACAGGTAAGACAACTTTTAATGGTGTTCTGAAAACAGTGTTAATTATTGGTATGCACTCACAGTAACAGTAAGTCAAACTAACAGAAACAGAAGCTTTTACAACCTCAAATACTATTTTTTACCTCAGTGGAGAAGGAGAAGTTACTTGTACTATGTAAGAATAGAAACATCAAAGATACTTCGAGACCATGAGGAGCTTCCTGCAGCCGGTGCAAATCAGATACTAACTGCAGTCAAAGTTATCTGGCAGTATATCTTTTCGGATCATTATCTTAACACTGAGTTCATACTTATAAACAAACCCATAAAGGTTCGGTTACTTAAAAATGCAGCACTTTTTACCTTATTCCCAAGCTAGCTATGTGTCTTGCAGAATCTTTTTTGTGTTGTACTTACCAGTGATCATATCTGCAACAGTCACTAGTACAGGAGTAAATCTAGGTTCAATCACACGCCTGCAAAATTAGAAGACATCCCAATTTTACTGGTTTTGCAAACTGCACTCCTTCTCCTACCAACAAGCAGCTTTCTCATACACACATACATAAAACTTTTTCTTCATGAAAAGACAACTCAGAACAGAGGTCAGAGATGAGAGTCAAAAAAACCTACATGTGTGGTATTCACCCTCCTCCTTTCAGGAAGGCAGTGGGGGTTGGAGGACTGGCAAAAGTCTTAGGTACATGAAGACAGGAGTTTCATCAAGGATACAGAAAACAATAGACTAAGGATAAAACGTCTGGCAAAGAAGTAAAATATACTTTCTCATACTATCAGCAAAATTTTGTGCTAACAGGTAAACTACTTCAGTACTGTCCCAGACCTTGATATCAGAAAGCAGAGGGCATGTGAGATTTCAAGAGTTCCACTAGTGGTCTGTTGAGGCTCTATGGCAAAAGGTACTAAGAACTATAGGTCTCAACACAGTCAGAGAGAACTCAGGTTAAAATAATACCTTGCCACAAAGGTAAGAAGGAGATTGATTTGCTTCTCATCTCGGCCTGCAAGCGCACTCCTCAGTGTTCCTCTGCGATGTAGTTCCTGCATGACTGCAACCGTAACTTCAGGAGTATAAAGCCTGATAGGTGGCTGGACACATACAACAACAGCTTAGTACCAAAGCAACATCTTTACACACAAAACAGGGATGGTATCAGCAAAACCAAAACAGAACCCAGACAAGTTTGATTCCTTTCTAGTTACACACTGAAATAAAACTCGTTTGACATACAGAAAAAATCCACATCAGATGACAGCAGGCAACTCTGAGAAGACAAAAACCAATGCCCTACCTCCAGAACTGCATCAAGGGCCTTGGAAGACTGAAAGCTCTTCAGCAGCTTGTCATATTTCCTCAAAACACGTTTTACAGGCTTACTGACACAGAAATCTTCCTAGAATGGAAAGACAAGCTCAGAATAAGACACCCACAGACACACAATGGGTTAGATGTACTATCATGAACAAGCTTATGTCTCTGTACTTCTCTCCCTTCCCTTTCTTCAACTTGGCACACTCCAAAAAAAAAAAAAAAAAGAAAAAAAAAAGAAAGAAATAAAAAATAAATAAATAAATAAATTTTGCAGAGTGCTTCAGTATACATTTTCTCACCCCCCTATACCTGTTTTGGCATGTAAGTTCTTCCTTTCACATAGGTTCTATATGCTGGTTGTCTCTTCTTTTGAGATTTTTCTTTCTTTTCTTCAGGTTTCCTATGTTTAACATTTAGCACCCCATTGGTCATGCCTACAACTATGGTTTCATCTTCAGGCTAAAAAGAAGAAATCACAGGTTAGGAACCTAGTGTTTTATTCCATTATCCATGCTTTACCATTGTAACGGGTCTGCGTGGCAAGGT